AAAAGGAAGGGAGAAGTTCCATTGGGTGAGAGAGATGGGTAGCATTATTAAGCTCACACCGACCTGTAATTACAACAATCATGATGGTTAACTAATATAATAATAATTCCTTTTTGCCATAAATACCAGAAATGGTCACTGGAAAAAATCGCGCGCTTTAAAGGTTGTAAATTTGATGCAAATATGATGTAAGTGTCCAAAATTCTGTAAATTTGATGTAAATCATTTCCATTAAAATTACAGAATTTTGGACACTTAATCATATTTACATCAAATTTACAACCTTTAAAGCGAGCGATTTTTTCCAGTGGGTACATTAGAACATAAAATTTAAATTTAACAAAAAGATATACTAGCTGTCTAGATGATTGTACAAATTTCGAACATTAAAACAATACTTCGCAGTTAAATCTACAATAGAGTCATCTTTCATTGACAATATATATTGGAATAAGCAATGATAACCTGTGAAGGTTTTGAAATTGTTATTTATGTTATAAAGGCTTTCCCAGAAAGCTTTTCTTAGAATAACCATTATTATGTGATGGTCTGTATAGGTGTAATCATTGAATGTATGTTGTAAATTATCAGTATTATTATCGTTGTTCGTTGTAGGGTCGTGTCCTTACAGGGGCGTGATGCAGGAGTTTCATGGTGGGTTCCAGCTTTGAAAGATTTGGCAAGTAAAAGTTCAAGCCGGATTGTTCAAAGCCCGATTAGCGTTCGATCCAGGGTTAACTCAATAGGTTTTCTAAAGACCGTTTTAGACGGCATAACTTTTGACTACAACCATCATCGCATGCCGGCGCGCGTAAGTCGTCCTTATAGAACATATAGCTACAACTGTCGTAGGGATTTAAAACAATTGCTTAATAGCCCAAAGACAGTTGAAGCCATGTTGTAAGGATGACTTACGCAGGTCGCATGCGATCGTTGTAGGCAAAAGTTGTGCCGTCTAATTCGGCCTTAAGAGTTAATCCAAGATTAGCGCTAATCAGTTTTGAACAACCCGCCCCTTTAGTAGTAAAACAGTCGCTCCGATAGAGAGCTACTTGTTGTAGTGTGTTTTCACAAATTGCTTACGAATTTACGCACCTGTATTGTAATAATTGATACTGTAGCAAGCTGAATGAGCAGTACACCTTTCCACGCAATCCTGGTAGTTTGTCACGCCTACAAATGATGCACTCACATGATTTACAAGTGCGTGACCTGGTATGACGTAATCTTTATCACAAGCGAGTAGCAGTCGTATTGGCAGAAATACGATCAAAAAGAACAGGTTTTTGAACGTAACTGGAAAAAAAAAAAAACAAAGCTAAAACAACAAACAAACAAATAAAAAAAACATAAATGAAATAAATAAAAATAGATAAAGTCAATAATAGATAGTACGTATTAGTATTACCATACTAGTGGACTATTGCAAATCCTTCGTTCTGATTGGCTACGCTACTCGGTGTCTATTTTTATTAGTCCTCGACTAGCGAAAAGCGACAACTTTTTGCGTATTTTTAGCAATTTACTTATTTATATATTTGGCATTCTTAATAATTGCTAATAAAGTTATTAAAGATTTTTTAATTCTTAGATTTTTTGGGGGATTTGTTTTGTAAATTTTAAAATTCCCGCTCATTTAGTGCATCAAAGACCATAATTGAGCGGGAGCCTTCGTCACGCTAAGTGCGACAAGAAGCTAGAGATAAACAATAAATAAAATAAAAAGGAAAAAACAAAATCATTAAACGTCTCCTCCAGGGAATCGATCCCGCTACCGTCAACCTACATTGGATTTGCAAGCGGCGCCTTAACGCGGTGCGCCACTGGACCACTCTCATTTACATAATAATAGACCACTTGACACTTTCACCGAATAGACTACCCCAATTTGACATTATACTTTCGATAGTTGCCTAGTTAGTGCAAGGGGTTATCCATCAGTGTCTAGGGGCCGGATAGCTTCTCCCTCACTGACTTTTTAGTTAGCGCGAAGTTAGGACCAATTATCGGGATAGCATGGAAGAGCCGAAATCTCTAACCGGAATGTAAATCGATTCGCCGCCTCAGCTTCACAGAATGTCTCGGGGGAATCGTCCCAACCTTTTTTCGATTTTATGGTCATGGGTTCGAATCCCAATACTCAAGATTTTTCTTTTTTCATATTTCTTCTTTTTTTTTTGCTTTTTGTTGTTGTCTTTGAATTAGCTTCCTATGCATTAATGTTTAATTACAAAATCTGCAGAATCATTTAGTAATTACTTCTATATATTTTCTATAATGTGATATTTTAAAGCGCGCTTTCATTGGCTTGTTTTCATTAAACGTATAATAAGTTTTCACAGCGCGGCGATTAGGCAACCGAGAATCAATTTTTAAACAGAGTGTCCGAGTTACGTTTGCTATTCGTACGGACATGGTTTATATCTGGTATATCATGGTATATATAAGATATCGATTTTATAATACTATAATTTTGTTTAGAGTCAAATCATAATATGAATACGCTACAAACTTTCTGATTTATGCACATTTAGCCCGGCATAGAATACATCATCGCGAAAAGCGACACTAAACTCCGATGTCAGACATGGACTGCAGCAATTTCAATACTATGTTCTCAATACCTGCTATGTTTAACACTTTTTGGATTTTTTTTGTGTATTATGAATTTATGATTAATCATTTTTTCGTGGATAGTCGCATTTCGGCTTATTTGAAATAGAAAAATCCATGTCCGTACGAGTAAGTCACGCAGTGTATTCATACGAAAAAAGAAAAAGCAATGAAAAACGTAATTCAAAAATTTCTAAAAGTAATCTAGTTAACCGTGATTCGAAAAAATTAGTCGTGAGTCGTGAAATCGCCAAATTTCTAGCCGTGAGTCGTGATGCGTACCACCCCATTGAGACCCTCAGAGATAGATTGATGACTCATGCGAAACCAAACTGAGAATATTCGAGATTTTTTTTTCCAAAAAATTCATTAGTACTTGCATGGTTGTCAGCTAATAAAAAGTTTGACACTATATTTTATGATTATTTAAGGAAAATTTTCAAAATGAAAATCATTTTTTTTGTCAATTTAAAGAACTCCCCATATTTTCATAACTTTGAATTACTTTGACTTCAATTTCAAAGACAAAAGATTTCATATTTTCATCAATTAATAGCTTGCAGCGATAAAGATAGTAAAATCGATAAAAATATACGATTTAGTTCGAAATTTTCAATCCGAAAATTGCTTTACTAAAACAACTCACAAATTTTCCCAAAAGATGACCAATACTCCAATTTCGAGTTCTGGTTTGCTCTGTGTTAGCCTCAAAACCAAGTAACATATTTCGTTGTTTTATTGATAGCCCGAGAAAACGCATTGAATTTGAAAAGAAAGACAATAGAATTGATTTGAAATCTGACACGTTTATTCTCACAATTAGGAATATTTTGCGCACAAATGAGGCTAACACAGAGCATTGGAGAATTCGAAACTGGATTATTGTGAAAAGTAGAGTCAAAAACGTTACTTACAGTTTAAAGAGTTCCTTTTTAAAGATATCCACGGTCTAGGAGACATTATTCCTTTCAAGGATAGTCCTGTGACTGCTGACAAGCTAAAGTCCCATATTTTCTTCAATAGTTTTCAGGGTATTGAATTTAATGGTTGCATTGAATTCGCGATGATGCAGTTTTTCAAAACACCTGCTCAATGACCCCCACTGTAGTGTGTCACTCTTAAATAAGATTATGCATGTATATGTATAGATATATATGCAGTTATACCATTTAGTAAGTGGTAGCAATGAGAAAACAGATGGGAAATCTAATACGGCTTAGGAATTAAAAAATATAACTGACAGAAACTGGACCGCGTCGCTTTTCAAGACCAGTGGAATAAGTTACTCCAATCACGAAGTCTTTGTGAAATTTTACTCGCGTTTATTTGAAATAATCAATTATTAACCATGTAAGTCGTCATTATTAAATGTCGTGAATAAGTCTATATTTATAAGTTAATTATATAGCCACATATTAATCCCAAATAGGTAAAAGCTGGATTTTTCGTTAATTTTGGAATCCTGTCCAATTAAGAAATTAATTGGACAGGTTTTCAATTGGGTTTTTGTTAAAAGCTGTGGTTGGCTTTTACCTATTTGGGATCAATATGTGGCTATATAATTAATAATACTCGAAAAATTCCTCTGACTGCCAAATTGGACTCGGCCACGGCCTCGTCCAATTTTTGGCAGTCCTCGGAATTTTCCTCGTCCAATTATTTCTTAATTGGACAGCATGGAGTCCTATTACATATAAAAATTAAGTGTCTAACTTGATGGGGCACTGAGAGGCAACGGAAAAACTTTTTGGGCAGGATTTTTTGTTTTCGGAGTCTTTAATTTTTTTCAGATAGCGTTTATACATCATCCTTAAAGGGACACTGTCAATGGCACGCATGCGCGAGTAAACTTGAAAACATTAGGCTAGTGTTTTCAAGTTTATGACTCCAAGTTGGCGCGACATAAATCAGCTCGTAAACGTAAACAGATCTAGAATATTCCAAAGTGTGTCAAAAGCACCACAAAATGATTTATCTCGAAGGTAATACTTTTAAAGTCCGTTAGAGGTGAGACTGTTACTGCGCATGGCATCCATTGACAGTGTCCCTTTAAATCGTATTCTAATTCTTCTCAATATTGTTTAGTGAAAGGGTTGACATCCATAGAACTCAAGTCTCATCGCCACGCCATTATTCCAAGCCAATACCACAACCCTGATGTACCTTGTCTTGATAGAAAGAGGAAGCTTGTGTGTCACGATTGAGCTTTGATCAACATTACCTTGGAATTCCTGATCAAAATAAAAATAATAAAAGACGATTATAACTTCTTTATAAAACAATTTAAGAAATATCGAGAACTTGAGAAGCAATTTTAATTCAAAGCTTGATTTTCTCGTGTTTTTCACTGGGAAAGAGACACAAGCGTCCGTTTTATAGTTCTCTTATAAAACATTTTCGAGCGAAAAACAAATTTTGCCGGTAACCCCACGGTCGTCAGCCAATCAGAGCTCGTGTTATATATCAAAAATTTGTATGAATTATAAATAAAGGTATATTAAATATAAATATTATTAATAAACGGCCGTAAAGCAATGAATGTCTAGCACAAAGAGTTTAAAGATATGCTATCAACCGCCATTCCTTGCGAGCTTTGGTTTATGTTGTGCATTTAATTGTCAATCAATGATTAATCATGATTTATTTGGATAAATTCGTCTGTGTTGCGCTGCGCAAACATACCTTGGTATATTTGGTGTCCTTATAATCAAACCATTGCGATCCATCAGCGCTATATTTCAATGAAATTTTCGTGACGTACTGTTCATTCATGCCACGCCCTTGTATTGCAACTTTACTTATCATCTAAAACAAAAACACTATGCATATTATGCAAGCAATGGATTTTTGATTACATTTGAAATTTTATTGATAATAATTATTATATGATAAG